GCAACAATAGCTCTATATGGACCTTTGTTGATATATTTGAACAAATATTTGATTGAAGAAGCCTGATTGCACCACTCAACATTAATGTGTGCTTAATATCTTTTCAACAGATGTTTGTCTGGGATCTCAGCTGAGATAATAGGATAAATTTGTTCAACAGTAGGTAGCTTGAAATCAGAGTGCATAAACAGACATATATGACTTTGAGGCAATCCACGCTTTTGAAATTCAATTGTATAAACAACTACAAAAAAGTGACAATTTAAATTAATAWAGATATAACAGAAGTATGCAGAAATATGTTGACACTGTTATCATAAATTGAACATACCTGCTTGAAGYTTGCCGAATAATTCATTGTCTTTCAGTTCTTTAATAAGTGCATCAATCTTGATCGTAAATAAAAGACAAAGAATGTCAGACCTATCTTCTAGATTTAGCCTGGTGTTTTAACAAATCTTCTAATTTCTGGCCATTTAGGATTGCATGTCATGGTTAAGAATAAGTCTGGATATCCATACCATTTACAAAGGGACATTGCATCCAAATAATTTTGCATCATGTATCGAGCACCACCGGTAAAAGAAGAAGGTAGTATAACACGTTGTCCAATGTTTGAAGCATCCGACTCTCCTTGCTCTTGTACATTGCGTAAATTATCATATGTCTCGCACCTTAGGACTTTCTGCTGCTTACGTATGTAATGCAATCTCTCACTTTCAAGCATTGTGTAACCATCAACAATAAATTGYTRTAGAAGCCTCCTTGCATTGAGAATTAATGAAAACATATTTACCTTATCTTGAAGTTTGAAGACGAAGAACTCCCTCATTGTTACAGTTGCTCTTTTACTTTTGCTTGAAAATGWTATCTCTCTATGGGGAATGTCAACTCTATAACCATCTTCTCCGTATGGAAACAACAACGGATATTGAAGAGGAAGATAAGAAGGATGCAATTCACTTATTTGTTGTAAATAACATGTTTGATGTTTTACAATGATATCTCTCTTCTCAATTATACCACCATCATCTCCAACAATTAAAGCTGCAACCTCTGAAGCAGTTGGACGGTTATATGTTCTTCCATCCTTTTCTCTTCTTCCAATAAGCCGTAAGTTTAGCTTGACATCAGGGTAGCATTGGAAACAATCTCTTGCCATTCTATAAGACTTCATCAAAACATTTTTTGCATCTAGTATGTTCTTTAGATATTGAGTAATCTAAATATCAAGGGAATCAAAATTTGATGTAGACCCTTCTTTTTGTTCACTAATTACATCATAAAAAATATAAGATGAAAGTGACCATTAATATAATCATAMTATGGAATTCAAATAAATTTATTAAGAAGTATAAGGATAAGGATGAATTTATACCGAAACGAACTGTGTCTATTTGAATTTCATTCTCCRTATCATATATGTACAGTTGAGAGAATTTTGGTTTGGATCCATCTRGTGGTAGAAAATTGCCCACTCTATGGTAATTTTGACCGTTAAGCATGTATATATATGGTGCATTACCACTATTAATGGAYGAATCAATTTCCCCACCCATTGATGTAAATGAGAACATTGAATTATAACGACGAATGTTCTTCATGAAATATTTGCTTTTCGAGTCTTGACAACGGAAAAGATTTATGTAAGTTGTACCCATTGCTTTCTCTTTGGGAAGCTGAACTTTGCCGTAAAGACAACAAAGGGAATAACTTGTTTTCATCCCACATTTTTTCCCTCTAAGACCTTCATCTCTCCATAATTTTGCGTGACARCATTCACAAATAACCGTTTCATCACCGTGATCCAAGTACTCTGTTTAATAATATGATTTTGAAATATTATAATAAATTTGATAGAAATAACTACTTTTAACTGTTAAATAATTGATTAATCAAAGATTACCTTCAGATATTCCTGCAATTCTGTTTGTAGCTTCTTCTGGATCATCCAATTCTCCATCTGACGTAATGTCAWTTATGGGTATATCAGATACATTTACCGTCTTCCTTCATAATCTATGTTGTCCTACTGACAACCTCACCATGGAAGAAGTTTGCTCTATTGTCGATGAAGTCATATAAGGAATGGCATTAGAACGCAACGAATAGTATTTATTTACAGGAAGACTGCTTGTTTGAAATATAAAAATTTTGTAATTTGAAACATGTGTTAGAATAGAAATTGTATTGGAATMATTAGTTTAAGAATGGGATGTTTAAGAGATTATACATACCATTGGAACTATCAGATAATGGACTTCTGATAGTTATATTTGAAGAAGAATGTTGAATGCTTGTATGTTCATACTGACRATATGTGTTTGGATCCATATTTTCATTATGATATGAAATATTTTTGCTCTGAGATGAAGATCTTAATCGCCTATCAGAAATTGGGATATTATCTGTAAAAAGAAAGAGGAAAGCATAATGAAAGAAACTACCTCGAAGTTAATATTTCAACAGATAATATTTCCCTCATTGAACATCAAATTCAAAACGTTGTTGACTCAAATACCTTCAATGTTTGATGACGTAGAATTGAATGACTGTTTACTACTATTCAAAAYCGTCTTTCTAAATTTTCTTCTTTCTTTAGCATCCATGGAATCCATTTTTTTGATAGATCTGTAAAAAAATTAATCCTTCAATAAGAAACYAGTGCATGAAGTCAGTTGGTAAGAAAACGTTAGAATGAACAATCATAAGAAAATGGAATCACTTAGTTAGTTGTTTTAAACATTCGATTCTTACTGTAGTAGGAAATGGAAGATKTCTATGAGGACAATAATTTTATAAGAAACAAATGTTTACATGGAWGAGGCGATTTTGGAAAACGTAAAGTATAGCTGTAAGTGCTACGGAAGTTAGCAAACTGCTTCTCTGAGTTTTTTTTTCCAGATTTGTGTTTCAAAGTTAATTTTCAGACTTTCCTATCAAAGTTATTGAACAGGGCGCCAAAATACTTAAGTGCTTGATACAAAGCGTCACTTCAGACAYAGAGCCTCTACRTAGTACATGCATATCCTCTGAGTCTCCTACTCCCATGGAATGCGCACATGGTTCAGTGTTTCCTGCAAGACCTCTAATTAGCCTGCGAAATGAATATGTTACTCCTCTTCTTCTAAGTCTGGAGGTAAACTCTGAAATACATCAAGAGACAGAGCTCTTACACAAGAGTTAAGTGTCTCGTATACAGATCTCGTGTTGTATTTGAATGAAKATCAATKGTTGAGTGCCAAAAAGCTCAAGTGTTTGACGCAGAGCTTCACTTCAGATACATTGTCTCTGCATAGTGCATGTAGAGACTGACTCTCCTACTCCGATGGAATGCGTACATGGTTCAGACTTTCCCACAAGACCTCTAATTAGTCTGGGAGATGAATATCTTTGTCCTCTTATTCGAAGTCTGGAAGCTAAATCTGGAATACAATAAGAGACAGAGCTCTTACTCAAGACTTAAGTGTCTCATATACAGAGCCTGTGCTGTATTTYCAGGAAGGTCAATGCTTCAGTGCCAAAAAGCTTAAGTGTTTGATGCAGAACTTCACTCCAGACACAGAGCCTCTGCATAGTACATGCAGAGCCTCTTAGCCTCCTACTCCTATGGAATGCGCACGTAGTTTAGACTTTCCCGCAAGACCTCTAAGTAGACTGGGAGATTAATATGTTAGGCCTCTTCTTCTAAGTATGGAGGGAAAATCTTGAATACAGCAAGAGACAGAGCTCTGACTCAAGAGTTAAGTGTCTCATAGACAGAACCTGTGTTGTATTCCAAGGAAGATGAAAGCTTGAGCGCCAAAAAGATTAAGTGCTTGATGCAAATCTTCACTCCAGACACAGAACCTCTGCATAGTACATGCAGAGCCTCTGAGCGTCCTACTCCCATGGATTGCGCACATGGTTCAGACT